ACAGAGCAATTTATGCATATAGTACATCTTGGTCTGTGTCCTCTTTTCAACATCTTCACCCCCTCTACTCGCCCCTTCCTTTATTCTTCTCAGTTCTGTGGCATATACGGTGCATTCTTGCCTGCCTTCTACCAATTTCCCTCATTCACTCTTCTATCCCTTTCCTCTTGAACCCCATTTTGTAAGTAGCCATTTCCAAGTACTTATTTTGTTAGACTTCAACTTGGTCTTTCTAAAGGGATATACTATTCATATTCTACATGGATTCTATTATACTTCAGTTAATTCATTTACAACTGCTTAGGTGCTATCCAGTGTGCTTACTTCTAGATTTATAGGCACATTCTAGTTCCCACTAATGAGGGAAACTATGTGACTTGTGATTCTCTCTGGCTTAACTTCACTCAACATAATCCTCTCCAAGTCTTTCCATTTCCTTACGAATGGTTCAATGTCATTCTTTTTGATGGATAAGTAGAATTCCATTATGTATGTATGTATCTATGTATGTATGTGTGTGTATATATATATATATACACACACACACACACACACACACACACACACAACATTTTCTTGATCCATTCATCCATCGAACTGATTCCATATCTTGACTATGGTAAATAATATGGTAACAAGCATGATTGTGGTGGTGGCTTTAGTGTGTCCTTGTTTGTATTCTGTTGGATAAATGCCCAGAAGTGGAATTGCAGGGTCATATGATAGTTCTATGTTTAGTTTTTTTGAGGACCCTCCATACTGCTTTCCAGAACGATTTAACAATTTTACATTCATGCCGGCATTTGTTATTGTTAATTGTCTTGATAATGGCCATTCTAACTGGGGAGAGGTAAAATCTAAGTGTTATTTTGATTTGCATTTCTTTTTTTTTTTGGTCCAGTCGTGGGGCCTGAACTCTGGGCCTGGGCGCTGTCCCTCAGCTCTTCAGCTCAAGGCTAGCGCTCTACCACTCACTTGAGCCACAGCGCCACTTCTGGCTTTTTTTCTTTTTGCTTATGTGGTGCTGAGGAATCGAACCCAGGGCCTCAGGCATGCAAGGCAAGCGCTCTACCACTGAGCCACCTTCCCAGCCCGATGATGCATTTCTTTTATGGCCAGAGATGGTTAACATACTTTCATGTATCTATTTGCTTCTTCTTTCGAGAAGTCTCTCTTTAAGTCATTAGCCCATTTATTAATTGGGTTGTTGATTCTTTCAGGGTTTATTTTTTGAGCATTCATTTTTTTTTTGAGCTCTCTATAAAAAACTAATATATTCTACGTTTAAAACAAAATTAATGATATTTGTTTTTGCATTTAAAACTTGAGTAAATGATGTTATAAATCAAGTTACTTAGGAAGTGCTTTTGTTAAAGTGGTAGTATTGTGATTAGAAGCTATTTCAAGCATAAGAAATTAATTGTAGAAGATTTCAAGTAGTTTAGTTTTGATTAAAGGACTAGATAATTACCTGACATCAAACTTTTATTTTTTTCTATGTAGCATTGATGTTGTAGACTTTCTAGTTGTTAAGTTAAACAAAAAAAAAAAAAAACTTCTTTCAATTCTTTGTGCCACTTTACAAGATTTTCTCATTTTATCTATGTATTAGTTACTTTGGCATAGCTGTGACCTGAAGGAAACCACTTACAGGAAGGAAAGAATTATTTTAGCTCACAGTTTCGAGAGTGTTTGTCCATTATGGTTGGGAAGGCCAAGCAAACAAAATGGTTTACATCATTGCAATTAGGAATCAAAGAACAGAAATATCAGAAGGGCTCAGGACAAGATAAAGCCCCCAATTACATGCCTTCAGAAACCTACTTCCTCCAACGAGGCCCCAGCTCTTACTTTTTATCATTTCCCAATAATGTCTTTATATTATGCATCTATCAGGGTTCAATGGGCTCATTATGTCAGAGCCCTATGGTCTAATCTCTGACAACACCTTCGCAGATACACCTACAGATGTGTTTTACTGACCTCATAAGCAATCAAGTTGACAATCTAGAGATTAACACTGTGTTTCTGTGACTCCATGGGAAAGACTCCATTCAAGGATTAACCATGGCTCTTATCCCAGTTTCTTCATTTGTCCTGAAATATATCTATAGGAAAGCTTGGTTTGGGCTTAGCTGTTGTGAAGCCACAAATTCTAAATGCTATATTTTCTTCAATAGCTCATTTGTAGTATGACCCTGAACAAGTCAATCTATTGGTTTTGTCCTTTTGTGGGAAATAAATATAAAAATTAAAAGAAATATTAGCTAGTTATTTCATGCCAGAATCAAGGAGTAGTTACAGGTGGCTGAAGTAAAGTAACCTTGGCTTAGCTTCTACAGAAAAATCACATAGTCAATCAGAGAAAATGTTCTCTCATAATTTAATTCACATGACGAGTTTAACTCACCCTAATTAAACTTGCTTTTAAGCCAGAAACATAATTTACTTATTACAAGAAATACCCCTGACGAATGGACTAGAATTTGATGATGGCCAGTAGTCAGTACATCCAGTGAGAAACCAAATACTGGTACAAAATTGCTTCATTTGCATATAATCAGAACAAAAAACCTTGGTAGTCTTTTAGGACATCATTTATGTATGGCAGGAACCTAGTTGCTGAAGGAGTTTTCTGTCAAATGAGTCAGGAACCTTAGAATCATGTTTAGAAGGATTTCAATGGCTCATCCCACTTTATTGATACTTGGGAAGAAACTAGACTTGGATGTAGGCAAAGATCCTGACAATTCAGATTTATTACAGAAGATTCTTAATTGTACCTAGACTTATTTTTTCCCTTTTTATTAGGAAATATTTCAACTGTACAGAAAATAAAAGGAGCCATACAGGGTGAACATTGCTATATTTGCCACCCGTATTCTACCCTGGATGTTTTTATTGCATTCTCATAGTTATTAGTTTGTCCTCCCTTTTAACCAACCATCCATCTTCTTTTTTTCTGAACATTTCAGAGTGTCAGACATTACTATACTTTTTAAAAAAATTTTCTTGTCATGGGACTGAGGGGTGTCCCTGAGCTTTTTCACTCAAGGCTAGTACTCTGCCACTTAGAGCCACAGTGTGACTTAAGGGTTTTTGTTTTAGTTTTGGTTAATTGGAGATAAGAATGTTTTCTTCCTCCAGCAGGCTTCAAACCGTGATGCTCAGATCTCAGTCTCCTTAGTAGTGAGGATTACAAGTGTCTTAATTTGTTTTGTTTTACTTTGAGAATTTTTAAACATTGGAAGCTCTATATGCCTATTACTCAGATCCACCAACTGTCAACATTTTACTAGTCTTGAGTTGCAGGGAAATAGATGGTTCTGGAAAACATCCTGCTGAGCAAAGTAAGCCAGGCCCAGAAAGACAAAGGGCATATTTTTCTCTCATGTGTGGATCTTAGACTAAAATGTAACCTCTCATATAATTGCACACAAAGGCATATGCTTGGATACACAATTTAATTGACTGAAGTATATATAGTATATGCAGGAGTGAAACTCCATGAAGTAAATCTTTTGAACACTTACAAGGCAGTTTAACAAAATGAATATCAGGAAGCTGAAATGAGATTGTGGGGGATGGGGTTAGGAAGAGGGGGGTGGAGTCCTTTTAAGATTGCCTAAGCCATTTTGACACTACTCATTTATGTTTGAAAACATCCTTTTTGGTATAAGATGTAACATCACGTGGCTTTGTCTTTGCTACATGTCTGTAGCTGTCACTGAATACTTCGGTCTCTAAAAAATAATTTTCTCTTGTTGATTACAAAGTACAGTTTTATAAACCTATATATATTAAATACTAATTTTATCACCGAAGTTTGGAAGTTACAATTATAGCATTTAATTTAAGTTGGATCTGTATTGGAAGAAGAAGCATTGTGCTTCTTAAATGAGTTGAAAGTCACATTTATTTGCCTCTTTATTTTGATGGTGGTTTGATTTTTTTTAATTTTAAGTAAAATCTCTAAACTTGTGCAATGCTAGCATGGAAATTATCTGAGATGTCTTGTACAAATGTGCTTTTGCCAGGGTGAACAGAAGTAAAATTATAAAAACTAAAGATTAAAGTACAAAGAAGTCTTAAGTTCATGCTGCCTATTTCTAAAAGAACTTGTACTCTCCATGCTACATAACATAATGACACTGATGGAAATTAATTCCATGAGTTAGAAAACCAGAGTTGTTAGTGTCCATTTTCATCTAAGATCCTTATTTTCTAACGTTCTTGGTCCTATTGAAACATTTCAGTATACAGAAATAATGCAATGTTAATACCCAAGAGAAAAGCAATTACCGTGTATATACTGGTCATCAGCATCAGTGTGGTACAATTTTTAAAAAATGAACTATCATGCCCTTCAAAAAAATATATCTATATGTTCCAGGCTTATCTTACATGTATCCTGCAACCAGACCTAGAATGGGGACTGTGATTCTCATTCTAATCTGTGCAGAAATACAGACTTTTTCCTATCTTTTCTAAAATTATCTTCATTTTTTTTTATTATAGGTAGAACATAGTAAAAATAACCAGAAGAAACTATTGCCAACAAGGAAATGCAGTCTGTTTCTCTTAATGACATTTAAGAGATTTATCATTCATATTGTGCTTCCCAAATACATGGTGACACTTTGGAATCACTTAGTTTTAAAATAGTCTTATGGCCAGACCAAAGCCTGGATCAATTTCATTAGATTCTATAGGTGTGGCAATATGCACCTAGACTTTGCAAAACTTCTCAAGTAGTTGTGTGCAGCCAAAGTTGAAGATTCTTTTTAGCAATAAAAAATCATAACCAAAGATTTAATTAAAAAAAAAATATTTGGATTCAGAGTTTCTTGACTAGAATATATTTGTTTCTAGACTTTTCCTGGATAAACTATCCTTCTCCTAAGTGGATTATTAGTCCTTGAAAGATATGCAACTCAAAAGTAATCCAGTACTAACTATATTTACAAATCTTTAATGTGTCTCCTGTTTTTGCCTTATAGATTTGACCAAACACCAGACTGGGGCTTATTGAAGACACAGTTGGGTCAGCATATTGCCACTTTGAAAGAATGTGACAATTCTCTTGAAGAAGAGGTAGGTAGCTACAGTGTTTTCTTAGTCAAAAAAAGTGGACTTAATGACAATGATTAGTAGTTTTTTGTTTGTTTGTTTTTTTGGGTCCGGTCGTGGGGCCTGAACTCTGGGCCTGGGCGCTGTCCCTCAGCTCTTCAGCTCAAGGCTAGCGCTCTACCACTTGAGCCACAGCGCCACTTCCGGCTTTTTTCTTTTTGTTTATGTGGTGCTGAGGAATCGAACCCAGGGCCTCTGGCGTGCAAGGCAAGGCTCTACCACTGAGCCACCTTCCCGGCTCCGATTAGTAGTTTTTATTTTAAACAAAAAACAAGTTTCACCATTGTAAGTTATTCACTTGAGGAAATAGCATATGCTTAAGAACAATTAACTTGTTCAACCACTTTGGAAAGCAGTATAGAGGTTCCTCAAAAACTCCACATAGAGCTTCCCTATGACCCAGCAATCCCACTTTTGGGCATTTACCCAAATAATCACAAACAAGGCCACACTAAAGCTACCAGCACTACTATGTTTATTGCAGCATTATTTACCATAGCTAAGATATGGAACCAACCCAGATGCCCCTCAGTAGATGAATGGATCAAGAAAATGTGGTATATATACACCATGGAATTCTATGCCTCCATCAGAAAGAATGACATTGCCCCATTTGTTAGGAAATGGAAAGACTTGGAAAAAATTAAGTAAGCCAGGCCCAAAGAAACTTAGGTCCCATGGTTTCCCTTATTTGCAATAACTAGTATATGTCTGAGTCAAGCAGAAAAGGTCAGATAAGTTGATGTTAGGGAAATGAACCCTAAGATATGTATTCAAATTTTTTTTTTCTTTCATGCGATTGTTTCTAACACATTTATAAGATGATTTCTTTGTTACTTTGTATGTCCCTCCCCCATGGTATAACCTCTGCTTTCACTGTATTTGAGGTTGGTATAATTTGTGGAGGGGAAGGAAAAAAACAAATCGTTTAAATAGGGATACAGATGGATCCATTGCAACAATGAGATGTACAAGTTGTTATGTGGAAAAACGAACTTTACAACTTCGGTGAGGGGGCAGATTGGATAGGGGGGAGGATGGGAAGGGATGGGAAGGGGAAACAAAGGAGGAGGCTACAATGCTTGATAAGAAATGTACTCATTATCTTGCCCATGTAATTGTAACCCCTCTGTACAGTATTTTCACAATAAAAAAAAGAACAATTAACTTTTTAAATAATGATAGGAAAAGTAATGTGAGGTTTTGTGATTGGTTGGTGTGTTTTAACTTTCTGTTGTTAGGTCTTTTGCATAACATTTTGTAGAAGGATTTTTAGGGGTAGGACTTCCGTGGGTCTCTTCCACAGGGCGAAAGCGACCAATGCCCCTCGCGCCAGACCGCCTTGGCTTCACTGGGTATGCCCAGGGGCATGTGTTTGTTTCTGGCCATGTGCAGCCAGCACAAGGTCGGGGAGGCCCAGGGCAGACCCGGGCCTCAGTACCGCTGTCTGGTAAACCCAGGAGAGCCCTCCACATACTGTAACATTTTCTTTTTTTCTTTTTTTTTGGTCTGGTCGTGGGGCCTGAACTCTGGGCCTGGGCGCTGTCCCTCAGCTCTTCAGCTCAAGGCTAGCGCTCTACCACTTGAGCCACAGCGCCACTTCCTACTTTTTTTGCTTATGTGGGGCTGAGGAATCGAACCCAGGGCCTCATGCATGCAAGGATTTTCTGTCTGTATTCTGTACTTTAAAAGGCTGAAAAACCATTGGTGTTGATTCAGAAAGCATGTTTTGATTCATTACTGCACAGAGATATTAGACCAGATCTAATGGAAGGAAATATTAAAATGTCCTCTTCCTAGGAGAGGGTATGAGGGTACATAATGGTCAAGAAGTTACATCTTCAGTGAAAGGAGTCAGGCCACTTGGAGAAGCCTTCCTCAGTTCCTTTTTAAATCATCATCATCTCATTTTAGTAACAATCATAAAAATTACCAATAAATTAATGTCAATAATCTACCCATAAAAATAGTTAAAAACAGGTAGTATCTCAAACAATTAGATGAGGCTGAAGAAATGCATAGTTCCAAAGAATAATGTTAGCAAAGTGAAAGCTGAGTGCTGATAGCTGAGGCCTATAATCCCAGTTAATTGGAGGCCAATATCTGGAAGTCACTATTTGAGGTGAGGTTGGATAGAAAAGTACACCAGACTCCATCTCCAAAAGTAACAGCAAAAAGTTGGGCTGGAGGCATGGCTCAAGTGGTAGATAGAGTGCTATTCTAGCAAGTTAAGCCAGTATGGAACAAATAAACAACATTGTTAACAAAATTATACCAGCAAGGTAACACTTATGAACTTGAAGACAGAATGCTTTTGTGGGTTCTAAAACTGTTTTGGATTATATATCATTTCATAATAATGGGAATTGAACCAAGGTTTCACATAGGCTCTACCACTGAATTGCATCTTTAGCCCTCATCATACTTTTATGTATCTTTGAATTCTATCTTTAAGTATCTTTTAATTGTTTTATATATTGAAACAATGTGAACATTTAATATTATGGATTCAATACCTCTCTTTAGATAAAAATCTTAAAAATAAGTGATTTTCAAAATGTAAAAGGCCCTAATAGCAATTACTTGGTTTGGAGTCTAATGAAGCTCAGAAATATTTACTTTGATCTCTTGGGTAAGTGGCTAATTAAACAACCACATGTAAATGATGTTTACCTGTGGGTCCCTGTGCTGTCCGCTCCAGTCAATCCTTTCTCTTGAGTAAATACATCATCAAAGCCACAGAAACTCAGATTATGTCCCCTGGAGACCAGATAAGATCCAACAGGGCCAGCATACCTATTAGGCAATTACATAATTGAGCTACATGCTTTTAATTCAGAAAAATTTGTAATTACTTTATGTGAGGAAAATGAGTTGGATGCGTCATTAAAATACAAAGTGGCTTAATATTTTTTGTCTCCCAAGCGATGTCTGCTTCTCTTAGGGAGAAGTTTGACATAGCAGAGCAGTTTGCTAGTAACATTCAGTATAGGTCATGTGCACACGCATACACACACATACACAGGCACACACACACTCCAGCTATGTTCACTAGGAAGACTTATTCCCTAAATGATGTACTATTTTCTTGTCCTTTCTTCCTGAATACCCATTTGCTGGCTCATATTTATTCCTTTGTTTTCATTGCTACATGAATAAATTCCCATCATCTTTAACTTAAATGTAACTTAAATAATGATGCCAGTGTTTCTCTTTGAACACCAAAAAATTATTTTCAGTGTCCATGGGGGAAGGCTTTGGAAGTCATCTGCTGTCTGCAATCATGGTTGTTAATACCCTGGCTTTCCTGTAGCTGTGTTAGTAGCACTGGCTTACATAGAGAAGGGAATGTAATTTTATCACATACTTTCACATTGTTTCTCTTGGTGTTTATACTACCTGTACAGAAACCAGATTCTCTTAGAGCTAGCATATGTTTTCTTTAAAAGTAATCAGGAAAAAGAAAAATCTTTGAAATATCAAGATACACAGAAAGAAAAAAAACTGCCCTGATTCTATCTATATGTAAGTCCATTCACATTGAAATGTGTGATCTTTGCTATTTAAAATACCATTGCATTGTTTGTATACATTACTCTCACTTCTCACAAAGTGAGTTTTCTTTTACACTGTTTCATGTTCTTCTATATCACTTCAAATGGTTTTAGGTCCCCTGCTCTTTCTTATTTTAGTCACCTGTGGATCAGAAGTTTATTCCAATTTTTCTTCCAGTAAGAAAGTTTCAGAGAGTATCTGTACAATTCAGCTTTTTCAAATTCCTTAGAATGAATTCCTAGGTATAGAAAAGTAGCAGGTCAAAGGTATGAATATCTTTCATGCCTTTGCTCTGGAAGGGTCATCAGAGTTAGCAGTAATGGGTGAATAAGTAATTTCTTTGATTTCTTTATAAGATGAAATACTACCAACTTTTAAAAAATAGGTTTGAGAGGTAAAAATGACATACAGTTTTATTCATTTGACCTTTCTGTTACAATTGAGGTCAAATATTTACGTACCTATTTGTTAGCCATTTGTATGTCTTTTATAATTCAATAGTTCATGTTCTATGCTCATTTTCCTACTATTTCTTATTGGTTCATAAGAACTTTTAAGCTACAAATTTGTACATTTTGTCACAGTATTTCTAGCAGCTTGATCTTTACCTTTCATTTTTCATAATAGGGTTTTAGACACAAATCATTTCCACTAACAGTTTTATCCATTTATGCATTTGAATATCATAATTGATAAGTTTCTAGGTATAAATTTAGTCAGCCTAGGTGACTCTTACGGTTTTAAACATAGGAGGATTCATATTTAAAACTGAGCTTTGAGGAAAATTCTAGTAGAAATTTTAGGAATACTATTAGGTGTAATTTATAGTGATTTATTTATCTGTGTGTGGTAAGATCTGAAACATGCAGGTTATAAACATCAGTCATCTTGTAGGTATCATTGTGTCCTGTGATGTAACTTCTAAGACCTGTTTCCTAGTTCTTGAAAGACCCCAAAGCAAAGGACTAACTTACTGATGTTAACTTAGGCTTCCTTTTTCTGAGAAGGGTGAAATGCTCTCCAGTTTCCCTTCCTGAGCTCAAAAGATAGCTAATTCAAAGAGACTTTATCAGTAACAGGTAAATTTAAACCTATGCTTAGTTCATTCATAAGCGCTATCAGAAAAATTGTTCTCTGGCAGTAATTTTCAGAGAATAAACTCCATTTTTGCAGGACCCATTCAATCCCAGTGTGAGATATGTAAAGCATTTTATTAACTCTTCTCTGGGCTTTTGTCCCTTTGCAGCTATGAGTTAGTATCTTTACTTTCATATAAACTTTTTCAAATAGGGGCTTACCTTAGAAATCAAGATTTCTAAACAATCTACTAATACTATCTGGAGAATCTTATGGATGTTTTCCTGGCTTAGCAGAAGGTTTGGGGTTTTTTTGTTGTTGTTGTTTTTTGTTTGGGTTTTTTTGTTTTGTTTTTGTTTTGTTTGTTTTGTTTTTTGTCAGTTGTGGAGCTTGAACTCTGAGCCTGGGAGCTGTCCCTGAGGCTCTTTGTGCTCAAAGCTAGTGCTCTACCACTTGAGCCACAGTGCCATTTCTGGTTTTTGAGTAGTTAATTGAGATGAGTCTCACGGGGGTCTTTTCTGCCTTCGAATTGTGATTCTCAGATTTCAGCCTCCTGAATAGCTAGGATTACAGGTGTGAGCCACCAGTGCCTGGGCAAAAGTTGTTTTTGACTAACAACTATAACTGGTCATTACATAGGCGGCTTTTGTTCGGTCCATTTATTATTATTTTCTGCTTTTTAGTGGCTTATATTACAGATTCTTTACAGAAGATGTATTAGGCAGATCCATTGCTTTCTTTGAAGCCTCCATGGTCCAGTAGTCAAGCCAGCCACTCTCATGTTGCAATTTGACATGCACTAAAATCTTTGTAAAGTGCTCATCTTTGAGTAACTTGGTGGACCATGAGTACGTACAAAAGAGGTTAGGCAAAAGGGAAACTACAAGAGAAATCCACACAAGTAAAAGTCCATTGGTTATAGGAGCTTGTTGCGGGTGTGTTAACTCGTTAATGGAAATAGTCATTGTTAGTCAAGTGTTCTTAAGCAAGCAGCTTATGCAAGCACTTGTACAAGAATCTACAGTTAGGTAGTTCCAAGGAAACCTCCATGGAGGAAAAAAACTGAATGTTCCAAAGCTCTCAGAGCTGTTGAAGAGCTTCACATCAGTAAAGCTGCGTAATGCATGCATGCACAGGAATTTATACATTTTGGTTTTGAAATTCCTTTTGATTTTTAAAATTAACTTTTTGACCATGCTTGGCCAAAGACATGTGTAATCCACTAATAAGGCAGACTTATTATAATGTAGTTTTGGAGAATTTCTTGCATAGTTCCTGTCATAGGCATACATACATACCTAAGGGTTCCTTCATGCCTCCATGGCTCTATTTTGTTAAGTTGACATAAATGGCTCCATTTTCATCCTGATAACTTGCAAATGCCAAATCATTTTGGCATTCAGGGGAGGAGAGGAATAATAAAGTGTTTTAAATTGCTAAAAAAAAAAAAAAACTATGAATCAATACTAAACAAGCCATTGAATTCATTTTAAAAAAAAACCCTATGAATCTTTACAGACAAATTTCACAGTAGAAAGTACAAAAAAAAAAAAAACTTCCACAGTCCTTTAACAATTTTATTCTTAAAATGTGTGTTAACACTGTGACTATTAACAGGTCATGTCAAGAAATTATTAGTTATAACTATTGTAGTAAGATAATAGGATTTAGAAATACATAATTGAGGGTCTCAGAATGTATGGATTATTTTAAACTTCAGAAAATGAAAATTATAGCTTTCACTATAGGATTTAGGTCAGTTCTTTTTGTTCATATTTTAAAATACTTTCTCTATACCCAGTATTACTGAGTACAGACTGGAACAAGATGAGTGGAACTCCCAGTCTTCCCTTAGCAATCCAGATAGCACAGTGAGAGTTGAGAGAAGAATGTTTAAGGAAGAAGTGTCTGCACTTTGTGTTTCTCTTCCTGGGCAGATTTCAGAAGCAAGTATAGTAGATAGTTCCATGTAAGCTGCCAAGATGTGGCTGGATGACAGCCAGAAAACGAAGATGAACCTAGGCCTGGGCTTCAAGACAAGACTCTGTGCCAAGTCCTATTGGAGTACTGAACAGGTTATTCCAATAGCTATCATAACTGGAATAAAGTTCAGGGACTAGTTTATACAAATAGAAAAACCCCTGGTCACTAGAACTGTACCACAGGAAGATCTTAGCTAGCTGCAAAGGCTAACTTAACACCATGTCCTTTGGCCAAGGACTAGAAACCCCTTCTCCCAAATCAGCTACTATATATAGCTTCCATCATAGGCCATAGGAATAGGACCAGGAAGCCAGCAAGTTTTAGGGAGGGCAGAGAGCAAGAGCTTTGAGAGATGTCAGGGCTGAAGGCACTGGACATCAAAGGTTGTCAAGGTCAAATGTACAAGGCTGGGCCTTCCATCTCTGCCTTAATGATTCTTCACTAGTGCATCTTCACTCCATCCATGGTTAATCACAAGAAATGATTATTCCTTTCTCCCTCATTAACTAAATGATTGCTTTGTCATTTATATATTCATAGAATATAGATGACCTGTGAAGTTTTGCCAAATTCTGCTTTTTATATTAGCTTATAAAATCTTGAGTCCATTTCTTACAGATTGGGTCAGACACTGGCTATGGGTTTTCTATCATCAGATGAAAGGTCATGTCCACTGCCATCAGGGTTTCTGTTCCAGAGCAGATTGCCACTTGCTAATACAAGTGAACAAAGCATACAATCTGGCAGTAGAATGATGTGATCAGTGATTTTCTCCTAAGCCTTTATTCCTTGTTACCACAGTATTTTTATGCCTGAGGGACAAACTGATGGTCTAGAAATTAAAAGCCAGACCCTGTTAATTGCTACTTTTTCTTCACCTCTCAAGTTGAATGTGATAAATCTGATAAAATCAGAGACATCTAGTGCCCTTTGAGAAAAAGATGAGCAGCGAGTGACAGATGAAGTTCCCCAGCTCCCCAACGACTTACAGGCAAGTGTAGATCATATTTATCTTTGATTTAAAATTAGAGTTCAGAATCAGGTCACTTATCTTTTTGCTCAGTGAAGACTCCTCAGCCACCAAGTTTTTCTGTAATCTTCCCTATTGGGAGGGAAGTTAAGGGGTCATTACTATCTAGGGAGATGAGGGAACCAACCACAAGATCATGTTTTTTCAAATCTCTCTCTCAGTCCAGACCAGCTCTTTGTTGCATTTCTAGGAAAGGGGATTCAAGCAATTAGAGAATAAATCTTTCCTTCAGAAAGGTGTTCTAGGGCTCTGACTTTTGGGTATATCAAAGGAAGATTAAACTGATTCAGATCAGCAGAGATTATCACATCAGAACCCTTGTATATTACACAAGATTCATTCCTCAAAAAAAAAAGTTAGGTGAAAATTGTTATATAAAATTAAATTGTTTTGAAAATAACCATTTTAATTTCAGGACATTTTAATTTCAGTGAATGTCAGGAAACAAACTTAAGTAAGGCTTAACCTAAAGTTATATTTAAAGTCTACATCTTTGAAACTAAGGGGAATGTGGTTACAAATTGTTGTGCTTTCTTTGAAACACTATAGGCAACAGCATTATTGAAAAAGCCTCCTACAGAAGAGAGTGACCATAGGTCAGCTATTCACAGTAATGAATCATCCTGCAGCTTGCCATCTATTCTGAATGACAATAGTGCAATAAAGGAAGCAAAACCCCCTCTGAGGCTCAACAGTGTTCTTACAAGGGAACAAGGTAACTATTGTTAAAAGTCCGTCCACAGCAAAAGGCATTCAGAGTCAATACTAACATCCTCTTTCTCAAGGCTTATCTATAAAACACAACTAACTAGAGGGTATTTTTGGTTTTGAGATGCATAATATTTGTTTTATGCCACCTTCCAATAGATACTTCTGTTCTGGTTTAACTGGAATGGGAAATCTAGTTATAGGTCTGTAGTCCTGTTGTATTTCTAATAAAATAAGTATTTTAATTTACAAACAGTCATACTCGCAAGACACTATGTTAGAAATGAACTGTATAACTTGGGAGGAAAGGAATTGGCAGGGAGGGAAAGTGGGAGAAAATGAGGGAGGGGGTAACACTATTTGACAAGAAATGTCTGTATATCACCTTTACAATAAAATAAAATTTAAAAAAAGTTATGAATCTTAACAAATCTAATCACTTGGCAGTACTCCTCAGACAAACAGTGAACTAACCAAACCCAGTAAGTGGAGACAGTGAAAATAAAGGAAATGACCATTAAAACAGCCCAGATGCCCCACAGTAGATGAGTGGATCCAAAAAATGTGGTTCTTATATACAATGGAATTTTACACAGCCATTTTAGAAAGAATAAAATAATGTCATTTTCAGGGAAATGGATGGAACTAGAACAAATCATGTTAAGTGCGGTAAGCCAAGCTCCAGAGAAACAAATGTTGCATGTTCTCTCTATGTAGAAGTTAGATCTAGAATACAGTAGGATATGACAAATTATTAAGAATTGTAGATACTCAGACACAGGATACCAAAAGAAGATAGTCTTAGGAGAGAAACACAAAAGTACAATTCCTAAGTACTCTTCATATTTATATAAAATAATATACATACTGAAACTAACTTCAGGATATGGAAACAAAAGACTTTTTTTAAGTTGTTAGTTTTTGATGATTCAGTCCTCTTTACCTTTTGTATGGTGTATTCCTGTGTATATCTTTAGGAAGGTGGGGGGGGGAGGCACTCAGAACTTGAGAGATAAAGGGTGAAAAGTGTAGTAGTGGAGCTCACTGATGAAAGTGAACTATACAGCTCCTGAGTGGAGATAGGAGGAAGGGAATGGGAGAGAATGAGGGAACAGAAGACACTGCACAAAAGGAAATGTACTTATTACCTGACTCATGTAAATAATTCATCTGTACATCACCTCTATAATAACAATAAAGTAATTTTTTAGAAAAAGAAATGGCCATTAAACTCTCAAATATGAGGCAGGGGGTGTAGATCAGTGGTAGAGGGCTTGCCTTGAGTTTGTAAGGCCCTCTATTTAATGCCCAGCATCAAGGAGAGTGAAAATCTGTTTCATAACTTAGATGTATCTTCTTATTATGTGTGCAATTTTCAGATGTTTCAAGTGACTGTGGAGATGAGAGCAAGGAAGAAAGCATCTCTGCAAAAGTTCCAATGACAGGTAAAGCTGTTGTTGCCTGACCATTTCAAAGTACATAATCAGAACATTCAGTGGTTTGTGGGGTCCACTGAGAGCCAGTATATTTAACTACTGCTTACTAAAGCAGGAGATGAATCATAAGAAGTAACATATAAGCTACTAAGCTACCTTAACATACACTACAGTGTCCCATGAGCTCTTCCTTATGATGTTATACATTTATACCTGTAAATGTCTTTCATAGTGCAACCTTTCAGCACCTGCATCTGTGTGAGAACAGTCAGTCTCCCAATGGAACACCTAGGGAGGATATGACAAATCATAGATGCGTCTGATTTTACTTTTTTCTTTCCTATAGTAATTGAGAGTATGAGCAGGGAAAAACAAAGTGCCACACAGAAAGCTTTCCTGTGCCTCAGTTACTTTAAGAATTTTACCAGTCAGGCTTCATCAATACCTATTAAGATTTCCATGCCTGTATTAGGTGTGTTTAGATGGAATCTGAATGATATCATTACTTATTTTAGGTTTAGAATACCAACAGCAGTAATTAGTATTCTGAACAGAGTCTTATTTGTTGTTCATCTAAATTTAGTAGTACCTTATTTTGTAAAGTGCTGTGCTACTTCATTATAAATTCAAAGATTTGACTTTAAATATTTATGCAAGTAAATACACCATTGCCTGGAGGTACATGCATCTGCATATGTGGTAATTTGCTCTTGTTTATAAGAAGAAAAGAATGGCTTGCTTATATGACAATGCAGTTCATGGCACGATGAAATTTTTTTAGCTCAGTTTCTATAATGAACTCTAATTTTGAAAAAGGAGTTTATGGCAAAGCAATTATTGTATGTATTATGTGCCATACTATTTTCCAAAATACAGAGATTTTATTTTCTTTTAAAAATATTTCTTTTAAAAATATTTTTTCCAGCCTGTTTATATTTTACATTGTTGAGAAAATGGTATGGGTGTCTTCTTGATTATTTTTATTACTAGGAGAAATATAAAAAATTCCCAAACTGTAGATAATCAAATCATTTGGCTATCTTTTCTTTGTATTTACCTTTGAATATAGAAGTATCTAATGGCCTGTGAATTTATTTCATTTAGAATAATAAAAGTTTATTCTTGTAAGCCTACAATTATAAAGATCATGCCATTAACCTTGAAATTACCTAATTGTTCATTCTTACTTCTATTTTCAGTATGCTTTACAGTCTTCCTTGCTGTGGTGGGTGGCACTACCAGCCTTAGTGGAAATGCTAAGGGAGAAGATAGTTGAGTATAAGGTTTTAAATCTTTCTTTGTTTCATGCAGAAGTGTGATATACCTAGGAGTAATCCGGGCTTTTTGGCAACAAGATTTTTAAAGAAATTGTAATTTCAGCAACCTGCCAATCAAAGTTTAAAAGATAATATTTTTGTCTGTTGCATTTCAAAGCATTAGACACACAAAAGATAGGTATGGAGAACATGGGGGGAAAAAACTTAGTAAAGCCCTTTTCTTATTATGACATCATGCCCTCATCCTCCAGTCTCCACCCTTAGACTTCCCATGATATTCATCTTGGAAGGCCCTGTGTACCTTTGTTGTTAAATAGCACTTGTATCTATAATTGCTGCTACTTTGGTATCTGAAGTTTTTGACCACCATTCCTTTATTATTTTTTGTGTCTTTGGCGTAATTATAGAGATATGGCTTTTGGGGAGAGCAAAGCAAGTAGATAGTTTGACTTCAAATAAGGTCTACCCATCTGTTTATATTAGTTCTCTTGGAGTTTCCTGTTTGTGTGGGTTGTATTTCTTCGTTAATATTAAAAGGAAAAGCCTGTTCCAGAGGCTGTCCCCTAGGGTGTGAGGGGGTATGACAGCCTAGCCTAAGCTTTGACATTAGCATCAGTGTCTCACCTCCTGCTTTGTTTCTCCACCCCACTAAGCTTCTATGTAGGGGAAGCAAATGTTCTATCTGACAGGATGATTTAAAGTTTAAGTGAGATCATGCACCTGAAAATGCCAAACAGATACTAGATGCTCAATGTATATTATCTTTAATATATTATAATAATATGTGGATATTAGTAGCATTATTGGTCTTTTGTACTAGGTCCCATAATCTCTAACACTTCTAAATTCGTATCATATAGTTAAGAGGACCTTCACAAAGCAAACTCAACTGAGAAAAGAAGCAGGGAGACTACTTTCAAATGAGATGTCTGGTTATGCTAGTGTAGATGTTAGGATTGAAAGCTATTTTTAAAAAGCTGTTCCATGGCTGGGAAGTTGGCTCAGTGGTAGAGTACTTGCCTAGCATGCATGAAGCCCTGGTTCGATTCCTCAGTACCACATAAACAGAAAAAGCCAGAAGTGGCCCTGTGGCTCAAGTGGTAGAGCGCTAGCCTTGAGCAAAAAGAAGCATTAAAGACAGTGCTCAGGTCATGAGTTCAAGCCCAGGACTGGCAAAAAAAAAAAAAAAGCTGTTCCATGAATCCACTGAAGGTTATAGTAGTTATCTAGCAACTCAGAAATATGGTCACTTCTTCATTGTGTGTCCCTCTAGCTGTGTCTGCTTTGCCGCCATGCCAGAGAGAAAGGAAAGCTGAGGTGAAATCCAGGGCAGATACAGGAAGTTGATGAAGGTATACTGTTTGGAGGACATTTAACCTAAGAAGGGCGCAGTAACTATCTTTAGACATTTGAGAGACTACAGCCTACAAGGCTGGGAATTGGTTGGCTGTAATGATAGGATATAGTTCAGCAGCAAAATAATTTTGTAGCTCTTTATTTCAGCCAAACCAAGGTAGGTGTCTTCAAGGTATGAGATTCTGTGTTTGGAAGATAGCAGAAACTATGAATCTCTTAACAAGAACACTTTCTTTTTCTGGGACCTGACATTTCTTCCACTGCTGAGATTTTAATTCTTCTTCTGTCCTAAAGGAATCAAATATACCAACATTCTTATAACTTCATTTCCCTTTAACTGCTCAATGTCTCAAAACTTAGGCAGAGATGCTCATCCTTAAAAGAGATTGCTATTTCTACAAAAGGGTGCTTTGTTAATCATCATTGTAAAAGGGGTGAGTTTCCTCTGCTAAGACTTGCAGGTTGTACTGAAAGGAATGCCCTGTAAAGTAGGCCAGAGCTGAGCATGCCTAGGGCCCTGAGACCACCTACACATTATAGAGCATGCCGATTGATATGTCCTAAAAACACCCAGGGCAGTAGGAAAGTGATGCTGCACAAGATTATAAGAGAAGATCTTCCTTTGAGTTACTTATACCCATAAGGTGACATTCCCTGCACTGGCAATTTCATTTATATTTACACTAAATTTACTTTCAGCACTAGATTTCACTTTTTGCAAATAATACAGTTTGTACTGCATATAATAAAATCCAAAACTGACACAGTATCTGGCACAGAGTGGACACTTAATTTGTCAAACAAATGAATAAAAATGGAGACATTAAGGAGTCCCTTTAAATGCTTGTTGATTCAATCCAGCATGCTACCTCTTTCAGTCATTCACTCCACTACCACTTTTCCCACCCCACGTGCCCATCCTGGCAAAACTCATCTCTTTAAGCTCCATGTGAAAAGGGCTCTCAGCTTTTATCTCAAGAGGATTAAGCTTCTAAGAAGGTCCATTCAGTCTCATTCTTTTGACACCAGTTCTCTTGGTCAAGCTGTGTTGAAAGTGGTTGCCTTACTGTACCATTCCTCACTGATACTCTGAAATTTTCCAGGGCACCCTGAGGCATCCATATAGAATTTTTTCCAGGAGATCAACGTAGATTTGCAAGTTGCCACTTGGAGTCCTAGAAACTGCCTCCCCAAATACTCTTATTATTGCTGGATGAGTTTGTTTGTTTGTTTGGCAGTACTGGAGGTTGACCTTTACTCCTCAAGCTTTCTAGGCAGGCATTCTACCACTTGGGCCACTCAACTATCTCCTTTTTCAGCTGGTTATTTCTGAGATGAGGTCTTGACTTATTTCATATGCCAACCTGTACTACAGTTTTCCTATTTGTGCTTCCTTGAATAGCTGCGGATGACAGGCACAGGATACTTATTGATATGTGCCCAGCATTTATGTTTTCCTTGTTGCTGGGATAACAGGTGTGCACCCCCATGCCAAGCCACTGGTTGAGATGGAGTCTCTTGAATTTTTATGACCAATGTGCTTTGATCCATGAGCCTCAATTTTTGCTTTCCAAGTAAATAGGATTGTAGGCTTGAGCCACTATACTGGTATCATTATTGCTAGAGTTTTATATCAAGTTGACAAAGAAATGAAAATATGCAATAGCCAGGTTGCTATTAATGGCTGGATTTATCTTGGGAAAAACGTCTCCAGTGACAACTTTGAGCTACCAATATATAGTGACATATCATTGCAAGTACCTAGAGTTTACTATGGATGTGCTTCAACTGTTTTGTTCCAGAGTGCTTTATTGATGAGAATTAATATAGGAAGTGGTGCTGTGGCTCGAGGTAGAGCGCTCCTTGAGCTGAAGAGCTGAGGGACAGCGCCCAGGCCCAGAGTTCAAGCCCCACGACCGACAAAACAAAACAAAACAAAAAACAAACAAAAACCTAGATAAAAGAGAATTAATATAGACCTGCTATAATTTGGACTGGGAACTTTCAAATTGTATAACACCAGGGACCACCACATGCTGCAGAATTGTCCACCGCAGTACATATGGCCCTACATCTGAGGTAGAGGTCAGCCTGCTGGGGCCTCTTCCATGGGGCCTGCTACTCACTGCTTACAGTAGCAAGAATTCCTCATTACATTGTAGGGTGGTAGGGTTTATTTATTTAAAGTGGCCTTTCTCAAGACTGCTGTTGACTAGAGGATTCTACACTCAAGAGCATGAAATTATCTATACTGAGAGTCCACAGTGATTGTACAGTAGAATCCCATGTGGATTCCTTTGACCAAGTCACTTAATTAATAGCTAAATAGCATCTGGGGATTAGGGTTGTGTGTGACCCAGAATGTTTATAACATAT